GCGCTGGACGGCCCGTCCCTGCGGTGCAGCCCGCTGCGCGTGGCGGGCTCGGCGGCGCAGGCGGAGGACGCGGGTCGCGAGCTGTCCTGGGACTCCCCCCTGCGGCGCGTCCTGGCCGAGCTGAGCCGCATCCCCAGCAGCCGGCGCCGGGCTGCGCGCCTGTTTGAGTGGCTCATTGCGCCCATGCCGCCGGACCATTTTTACCGGCGCCTTTGGGAGCGGGAAGCGGTGCTGGTGCGGCGGCAGGACCACGCCTACTACCGGGGCCTCTTCTCCACCGCAGATCTGGACTCCATCCTGCGCGAGGAGGAGGTGCAGTTTGGACAGCACCTGGACGCCGCGCGTTACGTGGACGGGAGGCGCGAGACCCTGAACCCGCCGGGCCGCGCGCTGCCCGCGGCCGCGTGGTCGCTGTACCAGGCCGGCTGCTCCCTGCGCCTCCTCTGTCCGCAGGCTTTCTCGACCACCGTGTGGCAGTTTTTGGCTGTGCTCCAGGAGCAGTTTGGAAGCATGGCAGGCTCCAACGTCTACCTCACGCCCCCCAACTCGCAGGGCTTTGCGCCCCACTACGACGACATCGAGGCTTTCGTGCTGCAGCTGGAAGGTAGGAAATTGTGGCGTGTCTACCGGCCCCGGGTCCCAGGTGAAGAACTGGCCCTGACATCTAGCCCCAACTTCGGCCAGGAGGACCTTGGTGAGCCAGTGCTACAGACAGTGCTGGAACCTGGGGATTTACTCTATTTCCCTCGGGGCTTCATTCACCAAGCTGAATGCCAGGATGAAGTTCACTCTCTGCACCTTACGTTGTCTACGTACCAGCGCAATACCTGGGGCGACTTCCTGGAAGCCATTCTGCCCCTGGCTGTGCAGGCTGCCATGGAAGAAAACGTGGAGTTTCGAAGGGGTCTGCCCCGAGATTTCATGGATTATATGGGCGCCCAGCATTCAGATTCTAAGGATCCGAGAAGAACCGCCTTCATGGAGAAGGTCCGGGTCTTGGTTGCCCGCCTTGGACATTTTGCACCTGTCGATGCTGTGGCTGACCAGCGAGCCAAAGACTTCATTCACGATTCTCTGCCACCTGCGCTGACGGATCGTGAGAGGGCACTGAGCGTTTATGGGCTCCCGGTTCGCTGGGAGGCTGGAGAGCCAGTAAACGTGGGTGCCCAGCTGACAACAGAAACGGAAGTCCACATGTTGCAGGATGGGATAGCTCGCCTGGTGGGTGAGGGGGGCCAGTTGTTTCTCTATTACACGGTGGAGAACTCTCGTGTTTACCATCTAGAGGAACCCAAGTGCTTGGAAATCTACCCCCAGCAAGCTGATGCCATGGAATTCTTGCTTCGCTCCTATCCAGAGTTTGTGAAAGTAGGGGACCTACCCTGTGACAGTGTGGATGACCAGCTTTCTTTGGCAACCATGCTGTATGATAAAGGGCTGCTACTCACCAAGGTGCCTCTAGCTCAAAATTAGTTCACTGTGGATTGCTGGAAACAAGACCGTAGTAATTCAGCACTATCACCTCCATTTTGGTTTTGTTTTTAATTCCTGTTCTTACTTTGATGACCATCGGTATGGTCATATTTACCTTTATGACTGCTTCAATGTCACAAACCTCAGACGGTCTTCTGGGAAGAACCACCTCATCTAGGTACAAAAATAAAAGAAGTTGGAGGAGGAAAAAAAAAAGTTATTTCTGCAGAAGTGATCATTTCAGAGTGCCAGCTTCATTACTCTTGGGCCTCTGTATTGTGAGCACTGGTTTTGTCACTCTGCTTAAGACCTAAGTTTTTAGGGGCTGGGGAGATGGCTCAGTTGAATAAGTGCTTCCCTGGCAAGCACAAGGGCCTGAATTCAAGCCCTGGCTCCACAAAACAAACAAAACCCCTAAGTTTTTATTTGGAAGTTGTACTTTTCATTTGAGTTGTCTTTCATCAGTTTGGGGAGAGGATTGGGGTCAGTATCCTCTTTGTTAATAAGTTTGTATGAATTATTAAAGTGCCAAAGAATGTTTCTCTTTTCTAAGGTAGATTATTTTGTGGGTTGGTTTAAAGAAATGTGTGAAGAGCATTTTGAAGTGATTGCTGGATGTAAAAGGCATATATTTATCAACTTGAAAGGAGAAGGCTGAGGATATAGCTCAATGGTAGAGCATGTAGTTAGCACATATAGCCCTGGGTTCAGTCCCTAGATCCCTAGCACCAACATGCAAGCATTAGAGAAACTCATCTGATTGGGGTAATTTCTTTCACTTTGAATGTAATTTACTTATTTTAATTGTTCTATGTAAAACCCAAAGCAGAGTTAGCTTTTTTTTTTTTTAATATTTATTTATTTATTTTGTGTGTGGCCAGCTCAGCCCACCAGGGGGCGGGCGGGCTGGCATGTGGTGCTGGGGGATTGAACCGAGGTCCCTGTGCTTTGCTTTGCTTGGCTTAGCTTGTTCTAAGTAGGTGCTTTAGACCACTGAGCCATCTCACCAGCCCCAGAGTTAGCTTTAACAGCATATATTATGTTTTTGTTCAGTGCTTGTTTACATCAGTGTCTGGTACTGTTCTCAAAGAGGCAGCCTGTCACCCAGCTGTGCTGTCACAGACCTTAGCCAGCCAAGCTGCCCATGAGGGAAGGTTGGTGTTCAAGTTACTTTCCACTCTCTCATTTTTTTCCTGGCAGTTGGAAGAAACTTCCCCAAAACTGGCAAGTGAATATTCTCATGTTTGGTGGAAAAGAGCCTGTTGTACCAGAAAGAGCACTTGGAGTTGGAACTGAAGACCTGGGTTTGGGGTGGTGGCTGGTAGGCAGCTGGCTGAATGACCTGAGGCTGCTACTACGCTTGGGCACACGTATTTTGTAAGTATTATTTTGGTACAGCTTGATTTCTATGCCCTCATTATCTAGGTTGTATCTGAGACTTCTAAGGACCTATCACTATAACTGATGGGGCCAATGTTTTTTTTTTTGTACCGGGGATTAAACTGAGACTTTGCATTTGCCAGACAGTGCAAGGTTTAAGCTGCTGAGCTATCTCCCTGGCCCACAGGGCCAGTTTTTGAAGGCTGAGAACTTTAAAGTCTTTGTTTAAAATTACAAAACTGGCATGGTGGTGCACACCTATAATCTTGGCTCTTAGGAGGCTGAGGCAGGAGGATCACTGCAAGTTCAAGGCCTGCCAAGGCTATGTAGTAGATTCAAGGCCAGTCTGAACTATATAGTAAGATGGTGTCTCAAAAATACTTATAAAAGCAGCTTTGGCTTAAAGAGTACTCCTCTGGCCTGTCCCCAGCACAGCACAGCACACACAAAATTTATAAAAGCATAGATATATGTGAATAAAAGCGATGACGACTCTTCCTTGAATCCCGCTTCTAAGGCCTTTGTTGCTGAATCAAACCTACACAGTTTTTTTCTTTTGTTTTATAAAGACTTGTGCTTTTTCTAAGTTGTCTTTTTTTTTGTTTTGGTATTTAGTACGAGGTCTACAGGGTCTTACTACCTAGATTCGACTCGTAGTGATTCTCCTCTTTTCAACCTCCCAAGCACTGGGATTACGGGCAAGCACCACCAGGCCCAGTCTCAGAGGCCTTCTCAGTGCATCTGAGGGGGAGGGGCTGGGGCCAGCATGGGATACTGGGGCTTGAACTCCAGCCACTGTGCTCTGCCTAAGCAGGCGCTTTAGTCTGCTGAGGTATCTGGCTGGCCCTTAGGTTGTCTTTTTTTTTGCGGAACCGGGGATTGAACTCAGGCCCTTGCGCTTGCCAGGGAAGTGCTTATTCCACTGAGCCATCTCCCCGGCAGGTTGTCTTTTTTTGGACCTAACTTTTCAGTCTTACCTTTTCTTAAGGAGGCAAAAATAAGTAGTAAACCTGGGGTAAAAAATAACAGACCAAGTAGATGGTCTGTTGACCCTGTTCTAAATACCAACAGGGTCCTATCATCCTATGAGACTGTCTACTAAGTCTCAAGTGTATATTGTGGAGTAGGTTATTGTTTTTTTTTTTTTTTTTTTTGTGGAACCAGAGATTGAACTCAGGCCCTTGCACTTGCCAGGGAAGCGCTTATTCTACTGAGCCATCTCCCCAGCCCCTGTTTTGTTTTTTTGAGAATGGGTCTTGCTATGAAGTCCAGGCTAGTTTTGAATTCAGTATGTAGCCCAGGTTGGCCTTGAACCCATGGTAGCTATTGGAGTGCTGGAACATACCATGACACTTGGCCTAGAAAAGGTTTATTTAAAAAAAAAAAAAGAAAAAAAACACAAAACAAACAAACAAAAAAAAACAGCTGGGTGTAGCACTGGGAGGCTGAGATAGAGTTACCAGGGTTTGAGGCCATCCTAGATTACACAATGAGTTTGAAGCCAGCCTGGACTACAAAGCAAGACCCCATCTCAAATAATTTTTCATTAAAAAGGAGTTAAGACATAGGATTCACCCTAAGGAAACTTACCCTGAAAAGTTTCTTGGAGGAAAGTATGGAGTTTCAATTGTTTTTGCCCTTTTTTGGGTTGTGAGTAAACACGTTTTGCTGCTTCTTTCACTTTTCCTATGACTCTCTCCATCTTGAATATTTTCTGCGTCAGCAAGTCCTTTTGGTTTAGAGTTTCAATCTAGATTAAAACAGATGTTAAGGGGCTGGTGAGATGGCTCAGTGGTCTAAAGCACCTACTTAGAACAAGCTTAGCAAAGCACAGTGACCGCGGTTCAATCCCCCAGCACCACATACCAGCCAGCCCCGCCCCCTGGTGGGCTGAGCTGGCCACACACGCGCACACACGCACACACACACACATACACACACACAAATAAATAAAATAAAGCATGTTAAAAAATTTAGAGAGCAAATTATCAAAAAGCATTAATACTATAACACTTTTGTGCTCATCAGCGTTAGGTGACACATGGATACCTAAATTTTGGCTAGAGGTTTTTTTTTTTAATATACCTACTAATACAAATTTTACTTTACCTGTTTGGCCATGATGAAAGGAGTCTGCTAAGAAATACCTGTTTTGTGGTAAGATGGTTTTGTGACTTACCATTTTTAAGTCATTTTCCTTATGTTCCTTCATCTTAGGTAATAGCACTAGAACAACTAGAACCCTTTCAGCTAGAGAGTTCCATTAGTGAAAGACCCCACATTAGGAATTAAGGAAAATTGAGAATGAAAAAGAAAATGTAGGGGGGTAGGTTTAATCTCTCATTCCTTCTTTATGCCCATAGGCAAAAAAAGAAGGAAAAACTTAGATGTAAGGAATGGTGGGGGAGAAAACAGGAAGGGAAAGAGGGTAAAAACCAGTTTGTTTAAGCCCTCATTACAAACTGTATTTTATAAACCCAACTTGCACATGTTTTATCTCTTCAAACAGTACAATCTGTGGTTGGTGTGTGAAGTGTTTCTGTGATAGGGAACGGACATATATATGCTTAGGAGTAAAAGGGATCCCAGGAACTCTTGCGAGCCCTGAATTATCCCTGGAAAACACTCTACTTATTTACCCTGTTCTTGACCTCCTGGACCATTTCTTCATATTCTTCATTTCCTAAGCTGAGCATCTTCATTGCCTGGTAAATTTCCCTGAAAGAGAAGGACAGACATCTTATATTGTTCTGCCTTATTCTTAAAAGCACAGGGGTAGAAAATACAGGGCTTGGAATTAAACAAGAATCCTAAATTTCAATCCTCACTCCAATTTTGCTGAGGTTCCTAGGGATATCGTGCACTTTTTGAAATGATACATGTGATATGTAAAAGTTCTAAAAAGCACCATTTATTAAACTGTGACAGATACCAAATGTCATTTCATTGGCACTGCAGGTCTGTTATGTAGACTCTCATCTATCATTTGATTCTTTGGAAAAAGAAAAGAAAAGAAAAAAGGCACAGTGAGTTTAAGCGCCACCTCCCCAGGCTCACACCGCTATTCTGTGACAGAGCTGTAATTCAAGCACCAGAGTTCTTGACTCTAAAGACTTGTCACATTTGGTACTTGGTAAACAGTGGAATATATGATAGAGTACTCAAAAGCCAGCTGAGTGTGTGTGTCGGGAGACCAGCCCACAACTGTATGAGTTTGGCTGGTTTTTCTGTCACATATTTGGGTGGTAAGTAAGTGATACAGGGGCCATTAACTTCTGGGAGGGAGCCTAGAAAGGCAGGATGGCAGAGTTGGCCATCCAGGATATCGTGGCAGGCACCAGAATTGAGTGCTTACTTGAGAACAGCTTCATGACTCTCCAGAAGCAGCACATCTAGGAAGGTGTTCCTGACTCTGTCCCCTTGAAGTTTGAGGGCCAGGATGCTACGGCATGCTTCCAGTCGTACACCTGGCGATTCCTCATAGTGGACGGCCCAGAGCAGGAGATCAGCCACCTGGGGATTTACTTCCCCAATCTGCCCCACAGCTGCGGAGATAGAGGGCAGCATGTCCAGCTGTTACTGAGGACCTAGTTGGCTCTATCTGAGCATCCAAAAATAGGTTATTGCAAACCTTATCTTCCCTTTGGATGGTAACTTACCACTCTCAGAATCTCAGGGATAAAAAATAAAACCCTAGTGGGCTGGGAGGCTGAGGTGACAGAGTCCTCACCTAGCTATGTGCAGCCCTACTTTGATCCTCAGCAGCACACCCACATATACACAAGTTGCAGAGATAAATTAGAGTGAGATATTACCTTCAAAAGATTACTAGAATGATGATTGATTTCAACTTTGCCCACAAACTAATTTGCCTAATTATGGCTGAGATATGGGACAGATATTTTAGAAGAATAGCTGTTAGGGTTTGAATCTTAAATACCCACCCTCCAAAAAAAAATTGCCCATGGTACTACTGGGAGGTTGTGGAAGCTTCTAAAGTACGGTCTCGTTAGAGGAAGCAGGACTTGAGGAGGGCCACACATGCTATGCTGGACCCATGGCCTCTGCTCTGTTTGCTGCCAGCTGCAGTGAGATGAACAGCTGTCCTCTGCCCTGCACGTTCTACCATGAGAGCCTCTTTCATTGTAGCCCCAAGCAATGGAGTGGACCAACCATGGACTGAGGCTGTGAGCCAAATGAACCTTTCCTTCTTTTAAGGTTTTTTTTTTTCCTTCAGGTATTTTGCCACAGCACTGGAAAGCTCACAGCCACCAGCTTAAGTCAAGGTGTGGTGGCTAGAGACCTGCCAAAGACCATGTCAAAGAGAAACAAAGCTGAAGATCCTAAAGAATTAGGAAGAACAGAGCACAGGATTTAAGGGCTCTACAGAGTGCTACCGTTGAACCTCCTGGGAGTGCAAGATTATCCAACAGTGGATACCCATTTGGTACTTCTTCTCAATTCTGTTGTCTGCCCTCTGCCTTAACAAGTATGATGGAGATCTAAATTCACTTAAAGCTAAAAATCTCCTTTCTCAGACAAGCAACTTCAGAAACTTCAGATCATTCTCTCCTACTTTCGCATTCCCTGACTAGAGAATTTCTGGGCATCATTAACATTCACACAGGAGAAGTTATTTAAAGTTGAGTTGAAACTGAGTGAGATGGCACATGCCTGTCATCGCAGCATCAGGCTGAGACAGGAGGCTGCCATGAATTCAGGGCCAGCCTGGGCTATCTAATGAGTTCAGGCCCAGCCTAGACATAGTTAGACACTATCAAAAAAAAGAAAAAGTTAGGGTCACTACTCTTAATACCTCGAATGGCAAAAGCTTTGGTTTTCCAAAAAGGATCTGTCTGCATCAGATTCAGGAGGCATTCAAGCACCTGGGGTAAACAGACAAAAGTCACTGTTGATTGAAGACAACCAGAACAAGAACAGATGAGAAACAGGGATAGTACTTGTCTTTAAATGGTACTAGAACTGGAAAGTGACCTGTTGATGCTACTGGCAAATGAGCTGGAGCCTGAACTCCTAGCCTGTATACAGCATGATAGCAGAATGACCTGTTCTGGACTTTTCAGCCCACAGATCTGTGCCTATTCAGCCTTCTTTTTTTGTGCATGTTTTGGGGTAGTGTGGATGGGGATCAAACTGGAGGCCTGCCTGATAAGATGAGCTATACCCCTCTCAGACTTCTTTTAAATACCTCAGCCACATTTCCTTTAATAACTTCCACTCACTGGAATTGATCCTCATGCCCATTAGCACTGAAGGAAGCTAACAGGTGAAAACAAGATTCTAGGGTAGGGACCTGGGAGCTAAATGGTTCACACGGGCTGCTGTGGCTTTTTCTTGGTTCCCATCTCTCATTCTGTGTCCCCACAGAATGGTCAGTGTATTGTGCACCCCAAGGGAAGGTAGTCTCTTCAGGTCATCCAGGTAAGATGTGATCATGTTTCTTGACTCACCATCTTGTTGCGGATCTGCAGGGCACCTGCTGCCGAACACGCTGCCTGCCGAACTGCCACGAATTCATCAGAGAAGCAGTGCAGGAAGCCTGGAAGGAGCTTGACAGTCATGAGCTTGAGCCCACCTATCAGGGAGAGTGCTTTCACACGCTCCTGGGCATTTCCTTCAACCAGTTTAACCCTACAAAGCACAAACTGCTTTTATTTTTTCCCCCTTAAACTTTCACTGCATACTGCCCATCCTCCGGTTCCCTTACATGCATGTCACGTAGTTGGTAACCGGCTCCCAGCCTAGAACGACTGCTGTCTCCCCATCCTCTGTGAAACTTGGCCTGTGTCCTGCACTGAATACTCCATTCCATAGCAGGTATGATAGATGCCATTTGTCTTGAATATGATTTGGTTTTTTATTTAGGCCTTGTGTATCCAGCTTGTGCTGTTCATAACTGTCCTGTTTTTCAAATTTCCTCTGATGCCCAGAATCACTGCATATATAAATGAACTTAGTGAATGCTGCTTCCTCTAGCCTCACTGTTGGTTTCCATAGTCACTGCGTATGTTACAGTGGGACCTAGTACAATACAGGGCGTGCAGGGGAGCTCAGCAAATGCCAGGTGCCTTTATCCAAGGCCCACTAACTGCTTCTAAGGATGGAAGGTTCTCTCATGTTGACCAGGTCTTACCTAATCGCATCATGTACCTCTTTCCCAAGGCTCATTTGCCCCAGTGCGCGGGCAGCCGCTTGCCTCACTTCCTTATTCCAGTCATCCCACATCAGCTGGATCAGCTTGTGTTTCATGTCCTGTAAAAGGGTGTAATAACTGGCTATCATTTATTAAATGCTGATTTCCTCCTTGGTGTTATGCCTCCCCTTTAGTCTCCCAAAACAGTGGGACAGTCATTATTACCAGTCATAGGTGGCGCAACCGAACCTTTGATTCACTTGGCCAGGGCTAACATGAGGGGCCAGAACCAGGACCCAAGTCCAGCTGTTTCCTAAGCTCATCCTTTAAACTACTGTACAGCTTCAGGGCCAGCACAGTCTGCGTAAGAGACTGAAGACTTGAAAGTGATGTTTAATGGGTGACCATTTATTTTCATTTGCTTGGGTCTTTCCGGATTTTAGTACTCAATGGTCTGATACAGTGATGACAGACCTTTTAGAGACGAACACCCAAACTGAAACCCAGAACCCACTTATTTATTGCAAAGCTAACATGGCAATTAAACCTGAATCCTGAAGTTTTAGGTTAGAAAAACAACTCATGCATTAACACCTTTCATCTTAAAGAAAAGAAAATAATAAGCATGCTACAGGTTGGCCACCACTCTCTGGACAAACCAGGGCAGCTGGCCACACTATCAGTCTATTTCTCTAAGAGGGCAAGGGATACGCAGTCCTATATGTGTAGCTGGTTGTGATGTAAATGTAGCCATGCTGTTCTTCCTGCCTGAAACATCTCTCCTTCCCTCCCACCTGATGGCCAATGTTTTCTGACTCTGTAGGATTTAGCTCAAAATGCATGTGTTCCCTGTGGAACCATAGGAAATCCCCATCGCTTATAGCTGCTTCTGTGTGTAACATTTATCAAGGGAAGATAGTATCAAGCCTAGCAATGTAGAATGGGGTCAGAAACTGCTTACTGATAAATGAAGCAATGCATAGACAAGCAGCCTCCCTCAGTTCCAGCAGTCTGCTCTGAAGTCCTCATCTGTACCTTGTTCACTACCAACTCTGCGTGTCTATCCACTGTAAGTTAGTACTCCTGAGTGAAAAGTGCAAAGGAGGAGAATGTGTGATGATTCAGATGTTAAAGCTATAAAAATGCATATTCTGACTGGCCGGCCCAACGTGAGAGCTTATCTCACAGAAGCCTGTGCTGATGCCCTAGGACTTGGCCACTTGGCTGGAGCTATGTTTTAGTTTTTTGTTGTTGAGACAGGGTCTCACTATATAGTTCAGGCTGGCCTTTAACTTAACCATGTTGCCCAGGTTGGCCTTGAACTCACAGCAGTCCTGTCTCGGCCTCCCAAGTGCTACGACTATAGGAGTCTGCCACCATGCCTGGCTTAGGATCTATGTTTTATAGATGTATGTGCTGACCCCTCAGAGAACCAGAACAGGCACTTGTTGAGTAGGGCTGTTGTGTTTTTGAACTCTTTAAACTGTGATGAAGGACCAATTTTAAGGCTAGGAGTGTGGTGAAAATATATCATTGATTGAAACTTTTATAAAGCCCACTGGTACTGAAGCAGTGTTTAATGACTAAGTGTCTAAGTCCTTTCTCTTGGTTTTTGTGTGTGTGTTTTGTTGTGGCTCCCTTATAGCTTGTGAACTGCCACCATACTGAGAAACACTGGCTTATGTCACAGGAAGATGTGTTGGCAAGATAATTCTGGGTTATCAGAGGTAGCAATGTGGGGGCAGAAATCTATTTGGTGAGGTACTACATGGCAGGAAAAGGTAGAAAAGTTCCTTATAGCTAACTTAGGCTTCCTGTCCTGGAAGCAAAGAGACCAAGCTTACTAAACAGACGTTTCCAGTGATCCTGGCAAAGACCCGGCAGGCCATTGCCCGGTCCTTCCACTGATGGCTGTTCAGCTCCACAGCAAGCATGGTATGTATCAGGGTCTGAGGAAAGGAAGCAACTTGGCATCAGTGGTCATGATCACACTGCGAGATACTGGAATCTTGGAGTTACATCATAAATGGCATCCAGTATAATTAATGTCCCAGGGTCGTGAAATACCCACTCCTAATAAAGGACAGGGTGAGTTTATAAGAGACGAGTACTGCTCCATCCAAGCCACCTGACTCTAATATCATAATCAAGGAAGAAAATATGGATTTAATGAACAATGTTCCTGATTTTATTTTTACCCAAAGATGATTTATATATGCTTCAACCATTGTTTCCTATTTGCTAGGAAAGAAACTATTGTAGGTCTGTGACGCTTTCAGAGGTAAGCCTCTTTCAGAAGCAAGTTCTACATGTTACAACTCTTCTTGTACAGTTAGAAATTATTTTCAACCTACTTCTCACTTTTCTCAGCCTGCTGTTATGAAGTCTCCCCATAACACTTCCTCACCCACGTTTACCCACACGTGGCGCACTGTTACCTGTGCTTGAGATTATCCTACCCAGACACCTGCACTTTGGATTCCTTATACGTACTGGTCACAAAGATCTAAATATTTCCCAAAACTTAGTGTCCCCTCTGACCCATAAGGGGCACGTACTGTCTTTCCACTGAGATGACGCAGGAGGATACAAGACTGGTCCTCAGTGTCCTCAGTCTTCTTGTTAAACAGCTGGTGGAGGATCCTCTTAATCACTGGGTAAGTGGCATTACCTTCAACAGCCAAGCACTGAGCTGCAGCCCAGCTGTCTGCACTGTTACCTGCCACGGTGGGGTGAAGGAATGAGTCCACAGGGGTGATGTTTCCCCCAGATGGAGAGAACAGTGATGCACTTCTGGCCTATCACCTGACGGAGCCGTGTTTTGTTCTGTTGTAACAATCTTCCTGCCTCAGCCGCCCAAGTGCTGGGGTTCCTGGCCTCACCACCCCTGCCTAGAGCCATTGTGATCAAATAACTCCCAACAAGCCATGTGAGTGACGCTTGGAAGTTACCGTATAAAACTGAAGCAAGATGTGCTCAGGTGGTGGTTTTTAAAATTTAAGCAATATACTTGATATTGTTATATCTTTTCAATAAAGAATCAGGTATGAAAGAGGCCATGGGTTTAATTAACATGTAATAACTGTACACATTAATGGGGTTCAGTGTGGTATTTCAGTACATGTAGCACGCAGTTATCAGCCACTTTCCCTTGAGCTACCTTCTGCTCCCTCCTTGCCCCTACTTCCCAGCCTCTAGCAGTCACCTCTCCATTCAGGTTGGCGCTGAGTGAGAACATGGTGTACTTATTTTCTGAGTCAGGCCTATTTCACTTAACATAGTGACCATCCATTTTAGGGCATAGTTTCTTATCAGATGTCTATGAAAATCTTGGCTTTGTAAAAGTACCTAGGAAGAACTGCTTTCTGAATGTTCCAACATAAACCCAAACCTGATGTAGCAGACATCACAGTGTGAGTGGAAGGGAAGACTACGGAAGCTGATGGAGAGGGATCCCCTCTAGCCCATATTCCCAGGAGAGCAGCAGCACAGCGTTACTCACCCTTCACTAGAGCTGTCTCCATGATGTCCTGGGCAAGGGGGTTATGCGACTGTGTGGCATACTGGCACAGTGCTGCTGCCATCCTCACATTGACGTTCTTGTCACAAAGAGCAGCCTCCAGGGAAGGCTGCAGAGCCTCTGGCAAGTCCTTTATTAACGGGGCTTTCATAGCCCCCTGGTCTGTGATCAAAAAGAGCCAGGTAAGAAGAGTCCTAGCCTTTTCCTGTGCCTCCTGCTACTTACTGTAATCACAGTCAGCTATGCTCCTGTACCTGGAAAGGTTATGCTCAAGGGATTAGAGCATATGCTGGGTCTGTATTAGAATGCTACTTCCTGCCCCTCTAAGGTGCTGTATTCAAGCCAAAGATTTCCAGCTATGCTGTGGTGGACATTAATAGTTTTGTGGCAAAAATCAAACCTAAACAAGATGTAAGGTTTTTAATAACCACAATTATGTTTAGATGCTGCTTTGTCATCCATCCATTCATTCACAGGCAGTCTCACTAAGTTGCCAGGGCTGGTCTCAATCTTAGGATCTCCTTGCCTCACCCTGCCAGAGTGCTGGAATTATAGGAATGTACCATCATGCTGGCTGCCATTTGTTTATCGGGTTGGTGTTTGAGGTAAAGTATTGTTACATAGTGTAGGCGGACCTTGAACTCACTGATCCTTCTGCCTCAGCGTCTGAGTGTTGGGTTCACAGGGCCTATACAGTGTTTTCTCATTGTCTCTGATTTTCGACTTTGGTTGATCTAAGCAAGGTAGGGAATCACTGCAGAACTTACCAAGGAGGCTTTCAAGTTTAACTATAAACATTCAGAGTCACAAGACTAGCGTAGGCCACATATAGCACTAGGAGGGCACAGGATGAGTGCATGGTTTATCGGGGCGCAGGGTCAGGCACTTTGGCTGGAGTTCTTGAGGCCGTAGCACTCCACGGTGTTCTGGGGACAGGTCAGGAGCATGGAGTTCATTCTGGATGAACTTTACTCCATCTCTTCTAACAACATATGATAGTTGTGATTCCAGAGTTCACAGAGGTATCTTTACAGCATTCAGGGAGGTCCAAGGTATGATGTTCCTATTCGACGTTTATAGTTTCTTTTTGGGAAGGGGACGGGTTGGAAACTGGCCTCCAACTTGCTTTGTGACACATATTTCTCCAGCTTCAAAAATAGGTGCCACCATGCCAGACTCATTTAAAGCTCTTTTCAGTGCTGCATTAATTTATCAACCAAAGTTTAGAATAAGCAGTTTTGGCTACAGTCGCAGCCCAGTGGTGTTTCCCCCACCCCCATTGAGCAGGCAGGCACTTAACTGAATCTCAGATTCTCAATGGAAAGGGAAAAGGTTTTGTTTATCCCTTTGTTCACAGGTAAATAAAGAAGTTGACGCTCAGAAAAGTTAACTGTCTTATCAAGCAGTGGCAGAGGCAGGCCCGTGGTTCCGACTTCTTATGATTTCTAATCGTGTGTTCACTAGGGCAGTGGTCAATATGGTATCTCGAGAATAGATTGCATGTCTTTATACCGAACGCTCCAAAACCCGAAACTTGGAGCACTGACATAATACCGCAAGCAGGAAAATCCCACACCTGCTTCACTTGATGGGTTTCGGTCAAAACAAAGGCACGTTAAAAATTACTAAAATCCACTGGGCGCATTTTCCACAACTCCGAACAGAGGCCGGTCCGGCGCCCGGCTTCCGGTTCTGCGCGACGGAAGTGACGCGCCGCGGCGCGCCCTCCTTGGAGCCAATCGGCGTTGAGCCGCGCGCTCCGGAGCCTGAGGCGGGGCCTCCCGGGGCTGCAGCGCAGGGCTCGGGTTTTGCGAGGGCTTCGTCCGCCACCTAGTGGCCCGGCTCGCGCCCAGCTTTTGGCCCAGGAGGAGGACGACCCCAACCGCCCCATTCAGAGTTCCTCCGGCCGAGCCTGCCCGTTCTCCCGGACGCGGGGCGTTCCAGGAAAGAGGCGGCAGCCGCGCTGGTGGGAGCTGCCGCTCAGCTTCTGCCGCAGACCTCTGTCACCCGGTTAGGAGAGGACGGCGGAGCCGGCGGGTGGCTGCGACAGGTGTTGGGAGAAGCGCCGGGACTGAGCGGTCGTCTTGAAGAGCCTGGGACAGCCGCTGCTGGGGCGAGGACTGAGCCGGGGGCCCGCGGGCGCTGGCGGGGAGCGGACGGCGGCGGCCCTCGGGCTTATCTGGCCTTGCTTCGGACGGTCCCCGAAACCCGCTTCGACCTGAAGGCCCGGCGGCGCTCTTGGCGCCGCCACGCCTCGACGCAGAACAGGGAGCGGCGGCGCAGAACCTGGGCGACTAGGTCCCAAGGGCTAGACCCGTAGGCGCTGTCGGATTGCTGATGCCTCTCTACGGCCTAATCGTGTTTCCAGAACAGTTCTGGTGACACACTCCGGGGTTGTTTTGCAGATCATTTTTTTTGCCTTTTGAGAAAATAACTCGCAGAAGTGTTAAAGCTTTGTTTATAATCTCCTGTGTTTGTGTAAATAAAATCTGTGGATGTTTTAAATACTAACAAAATAAATTTTGATAATGCTGAATTAGAATATATAAAACTACCTTCGGGCTATGCATATAGGCTATGCATATATTCTTTCATATATACATGAAAGAAAAATGAATTTAATGTTTAGATTTGGCTCGCATCAAGATATTTCATAATTACATTCAGATATCCTTAGATCTGAAAAAAATCCAAAAAAATTACAGGTTGCAAGCATTTCAGATAAACGACACTAAACCTGTACATGAAGATACGTGTATTTCAGGCAAACATGTAATAAGTCAATTGACTAAGAAATAAGGTATTTTATCTTTGGGGAAGTTGCAAAAGAAATAAAAATCTAGACACCCAGGACATGTGAGGAGGATCACACAAAAGACATTTCCGAGCAAGATGCAGGCGTTGTACAGTAATGGCCACATAAAAATGATGTTCTGGTCAACAACAGGCCACACGTATGGCGGTGGTCCTACGAAGACAAGCTCTCCTTATTTGTAGATCTTTCTGTGTAAGTATCACTTCCTGAGGTCCGCACAATGATGAAACTAAAGACACATCCTTAGACTCTGTCCCCGTGTTTAAGTGGTAAGATGGCTGCAGTAGAGGATTCAGGTATTAGGATATAATTATTGCCACCCATCAGAGGCTTTCTCTATGTGCTGGCCGGTGAAATACTTTGTTCTGTTAATAACCAGGGAAATAAGCAGATATAACAAAAATGTATACAAATGGAAACACAGCAGGACACTGAGCCAGCCTCGGGGCTGGGACAGGGCAAGTTTTCAGAGTGACATCTTAGCTGAAAACGGAAGGGCAAGTGGGGCTTATCAAGTGAGGAGAGAGAAACATTTGAAGGAATTGATCACTGGAATGCAAGAAGGGTTGGAAAGCGGGTGAACGTTTTTACATCTTTATATTCTTCTGTGTTGATTAGTACTAACACTTTATATTCTTTTATAATTAAACATTTAGGAGGGAAATGTCCATGTCCTTGTCTTTAAGAAGTTCTTTCCCTGGCAGTGACAGAGAAAGGTACACAAAGAAAGTATGAGAACAAAAGTCAGCCTAGATGTAACCAGCAGCAGAGAACGGGCAGATCAATCCAGGTTTTGTATAAAAGGTGGTATCTGAGAGGACACTTGCAGAACAAGGAGAGAGAGCTGCGCTTTATGTCTTTTAACCATGCCATGATCTGAGACCTGTGTCTTATTCATTTGCCGCCTCGGTGGCTTAACTTCCTGGCTCTAATAGCAAATTTTCTTTTTAACTGCTGTTGCTACAGATAGTAAAGAGAAAAACTACTGATGATTCCAAGACATTACAGACCATTGAGAAAAAAATCAAAATGTCCATTTATTTTACAAAGTTGTCTTAGAGTAGAAATAGTCTAAAACTGAACAAAATAGTATAAATAAAAACAAGACTACCAAACTCACCAATTAACAAGAAATTATAAAATTTTAACAAACCCAGTACAAATAATATAATCATGATTCAGGATTTATTCTAAGAATCGTGGGTGTGTGGGCATATGGTACTAGGGATGGAATCTAGCCTTTGGGCTATTTTTAAAGTTTGAGACAGGCTCTTGCTAAATTGTCAAGTTGCCTAAGTTGGGCTCAAAGCTTCAATGCTCCCGCCTCTATTCTAAGAATTCAACAAAAGAATTTATCAGATCCACAGATTAAAGGGAAAAACGAAGACCTGCCCAATAAAATATAATACTCATTTTGTAATAAATTTAAAAGCCCAGAGCTGAGGAGATAGCTCAGTGCATAAGTACCTGCCTGTCAAGGGGAAGGTCCTGAGTTTGATTCCTGGTACCCTCCACAAAAAGGTCTGCATGTATGTTAGTGAATGCTTTAAAAGCATAAAGCTGTGAAGTGCTCAGCACTAAACATTAACCTGGTGAGTAACCCAGAGTGACAGTAGGATTTGAAACAGGATGACCTGTTACTTCTTTTTATATTCCTCTGTCTTGATGCATAATGTTTTGCATTTTTTTTTGGTAATTAACAAAGTGAAAACACAGAAGAGAGATTTCAGTAGTTTCCAGTGATCAGATGGTTATGGTAGATGCTGACTACAGAGGCTTTGCTTCTAAGCAGAATGGACGGGGAAGCTGCTGATTGAGATTTGGAATGTGGAGCACCAGATTCCATTTAGACTGGGTGTGGTGGCACATGCCTGGAATCCCAGCGCTTGGGAGCCTGAAAACAGGAGGATCACTACGAGTCTGATCTGTGTAGTGAGATCCTGTGGCCCCTGTACTAAATACATTTTTTTAAAAAAGTGATGAATTCAGTTTTGAACTTGTTGAGTCTCATGTGCTCTCCAAAGAAGGGCTAAAATGGAATTGGGAATAATGAAAACACACACACACACACACACACACACACACACACACACACACACACTGTTTTAAATATAGTTTTTGGCTGCTATGAATGGGAAATGTGAACTTCCCTGCAAGGCATGAATAAATGGAAGGGACAGAGTGAAAAGATCTCCTGGCAGAACACATGCTTGGCATGTATGAGACTCTGGGTTCAGATCCAGCATCAAAAAGATAAAGCACTGGACTACAGGTCAGGAACGTCAGGAATGTAGGAATTCTAATGTCTCGATTGCCGGTAATCTTTACGTATGCAGGGCAGTCTCTGGACCTAAGTTTCCACATCTGTAAAATGATCTCAGATAAACTAGGTCTCCTCCCTCCCCACGTTCAGAGAGTCTTGGTTTATGAACTCCGGATGTTCTCACACAGTCTAGCCCTACTCTTACCTGAGTCCCTTGGGCTGGTGGCAGTCCGGGGCCGTTCCAGAGCAGCCGTGGCACACGTGATGGCAGCCTGGATCCGAATGTGGGCACACCTATCTTCTATCCCCCGCGTCAGGCTCTCCACTGTCTCATGGTGCCACTCGATGACTGTGTCTTAGTTACAGAAATAAGAAAGGAACCACCTGGTTAGGATCAGGTACTGTGTGGCTGGCAGATGACAAGAAGGGGTGTTTCCTCAGGACAATTCCAGCAAAACAGCAGCTTAGAAGATTAAAAATTCAGAGGTGGGCTCCTTAGGGAAGTTATTTCTCTGATGATTCTATACCTTTCAGGTAGATTCCCCCAGTCCAATCTTATACTTACACTTTTTGCTTAAATAACTCTTTCTTTTTAAAGACTTAGCTCTGTAGCCCAAGCTGATCTAGAACTTGCTATGTAAGTCCAAATTGGCCTCAAACTCATGATCTTTCTCCCTGAATGCTGGACTGCAGTTGTGTCCCACCATACCTAGCTTTATCTGACTTAATTTTAAGCATCTGGATAAAAGATTTGGTAAGGCATAGCTGGCCAGGGTGGTACATCCCTGTAGCCCCACCTAGGAGACTGAGGTAGATCACTTGAGCCTCTTAGCCGAAAGCCCACCAGCTTGGGGAATATCATGAAACCCCATCTCAAACAAGCAAACATCCCCACAGGGCTGAGGGTACTGTGTGGGCAGACATACTTGGTTTGGAAACAGTTATTAGCTGTGTGTCCATGGATATGACCTCTGTGAACCTGAGCTACCACATTTGTAGCATAGGAATAACACTGAAGCCTACTGCGTTTGCGGATTGAAACCTTAACTTGACAAAGTGTTTAGTAAAATGCCTAATAATGAGGGTTCAAGAAATATTTTGTTTTAGTAATAGGGCTCAGAATCAGGGCTTTGTGCATGCGAGGCAAGGGCTCTACCACTGGGCTATATTCCTAGCCCAGCAAAGCTTAGTTACATAATCATCAAGTTTGCTTGCATCTGAAGGCTCGAGCTCTCAACAGCTTCCCTGTTATACTGAAATTTCTAACTGCTCTCTAGTAGATGTGCTATCTTTCTCACAGTGCTCCGATCTGTAGGCACTTTCCACAAGTTATCTTTTGCTCAAAATCTCTCTTTTTTTTTTTTTGGCAGAACCAGGGATTGAATTCAGGCCCTTGCGCTTGCCAGGGAAGCACTTATTCTATTGAGCTATCTCCTTGGCCCTTAAAATCTCTTTTTTAACCTTTTTTGTCTTCTGATTCAACTTACTTAGTGGATCAGTAGATCAGCTCTCCTGCACTAATTAATGTCTCATGTTCTGAAAGCCAGCAGCTTTTTTTTTTTTTTAAATGAATTTCTTTTTTTTTAACATTTATTTTGTGTGTGTGATGTGTGTGTGTGGCCAGCTCAGCCCACCAGGGGGCGGGGCTGGCTGGCATGTGGTGCTGGGGGATTGAACCGCGGTCCCTGTGCTTTGCCAAGCTTGTTCCAAGTAGGTGCTTTAGACCACTGGGCCATCCCGGCAGCCCCACCAGCAGCTTTTGAGTTCTCAGATACTTGCAGAAGTCCTTACTCGGCTGTTGCCTACCCCAGACACTCAGCCTTCTGCTTGGATATCTGTGGATGCATAATAACCCCAACTCTGCAGCAGCCAATGAGTTTCTCTTGATCTTTTCCTGTCTAAATGTTTGGGTAGCACATTTTGCTTTTCTCTTTTTGCATCAAATATTGTGTTAAGTTTCAGAAATCAGTAAGGCATTTTCCTTTCCTATGAAGTTTCTCAACCTATGAGTTTCTACAACTTACTGAAGACTAAAGGCTGCCCCTTGACAAAAAACAACATCCAGATATATTAACTCCCATTCATCTAATGCCCTCCATGAAAGCGCTTGTCTACCCTTACTGAGTCAACCAAGATTTCACATTTTACAAGAGAGGCTAGGTTGGAGAGATGCAGTCACGCTAGTCCATGGTGATCCCTACGCCCCACTCACTCAGACCCCAGGCGGTCTTCCACTCCCGAAGCATCCTCCGCAGGACCACCAGTTCCCAGGCCACATCCTCCACCAGTGATTTCGCCCGCTTCTTGGATTTCCTGGTCTTGGTGGAAACATCCTCCTCACCCATGTGCTGCAGCAGCAGATCCCGGGCTGGCGTGGGCAGAGCAGTCCAGCGTGGGGCTCCTTTCACCGGCCTACAAGCTACATGACACGGCAGCGTGAGGTCTCCTCACCTGACAGCCTCAGTCTTGCCATAGTGGCCCCAGCTAGTTCCCCATTGCCATTCCCACTAATGCCAAGGCAAGACAAAGCTGTTGAGAGTGAACTTTCCCATGATTATATAGGGATTTGAGTAGAAGCCTCACAGGGAATTATGAAAAAACTTCAGTATCACATAATAGGCTAAGGTGATGATGATGAGAGAGACAGACTTGGGGGCATAGAGATATATACAACCCTTTTTATAAGTATAATAAATATTTAGGAACACAAATATGTTTATATGTAGCAAGATTTGCTTATAAAATTAGTATTTGAGACCCAGGTACAGTGGCATGTGTCTGTAATCCCAACTACTAAAAAGGCAAAGATACAAGAATCACAAATTCAAATCCAGCCTGAGCATTGTGGCAAGATCCTTATCTAAAAGTAAGACAAGCTAAAAATTTTAAGAAGTCAGTATTTGATGTTTTGCAATTTACAGAGTCATTAGCCAGCCATTAATTTATTGAATTTTTTCTTTAATCTTTTTTATTTGAGGGAAGGAAAAATACTCTAAGCTGCTATATTTTAAAGATTTTAATATTTCTGAATTTTTCTAGTTCTGATAAATAGCAAATCTGAGAACACCAAGTGTGGTGGCACACACCTGTAATCCCAGCCCTGGGAGGCTGAGGCCCAAAGACTGCTGCAAGTTCGAGGCCAGACTGGGCTATATACTAAGTTTAGTGTAGCCTAGACTACTTAGCAAGATCCTGTCCCCCCAAAACAAACAATGGGCCGGCCAGATAACTCAGCCGATTAAAGCGCCTGCTTAGGCAGATGCAGGGAGCTGGGTTCAGTCCTCAGCATGCCGTGCCAGCCCTGCCCCTGAGGTTTGCTGAGACTGCAATTGAGACTGGGCGTGGTGGTGCAGGCCCGTAATCCCAGCGCTCGGGAGGCTGAAAATAGGAGGATCACTACGAGTCCGATCTGTGTAGTGAGAAACCATGTGTATTTATAAATATAGTTATTTATAGTTGTATAAAAATGGTTATGCTTGTTACGTTTTGTTATTCATGGTGCCCAGTGGATTCAGAAAGTCTCTTTCTTAGGATAAAAGCTGTGTGGAGAACAGGCAAGGAAGACGTGAAGGCATTTCCAAATTTACTAAGTTCATTATGCACCACATTGCCTATTAGGCTTGTGCTGCATTCTGTCATTGTTAACCATTTCTTTTTCTTCCAGAATTTCATTCCCACTCCTAACACCTTTAGATTTGCTTTGAATGAGGAGGGCAATGGCCTTCCCAGCGCTCTGCCTGTTATCAGGCTGTAGGGAGTTCCCTCACTGCTGGGGGCCCTAGCCCAGGAATGGGGACTCTCAGGAGGACAGGCACACCCTGCTGACGCTCTCCCGTCAGTTTCCCGCTTACATGCTTCAGGAACAGGCTGGAAACTCCACTTTTCCGGAGTTTCAGGGAAGATCTTGCGTAGCTGCTTGTCATATTGATTGAGGTTTTCCAGGAAAATCTGGTCTCTTTTCCCACCAATGTGGTGGATGATCCGGACTCCATCTGTGAAGGAACGAGCCTCCAGCGCTGCCCTCTGCCCTCACTCCCTTTGCCTTCTCCCTTCCTCTCTTCCTGGGTTTACCCCCACAGGAATCTATTTTCTTTTGTACTAATCTAAGCTCCTAAAACTGAAGATTCCCATGCTGTGAAGCAGCCCTGGGATGTGATTTTTGCTTAGAAATGTCACAGCCGGTGGCCTCATAAAGAAGCTTCCTAGGGACACTGGAACCAAGGGTGGCACTTTTCATGCTGAGCAAAACCTTTTTGATTTCTACGTCCTCTATGATATTAGTTGATGTTCACTTGACAGTGTAGGGACAGGTGAGGGCTGGGAAGAAGAAACAGGTTGGGACAGACACACCTAGGAGGCATATACTCGAAGCCCAGGCGCTTGAAGGGCATCAAGGCGGACGGGAACCTACCTGAGGCACTGGCCTCTGCATAAGGTGTGTTAACACTGGCTTATAAAGGAGGCTTCTAAGGCTTAGGGGAAGATGTTCTGAAGTGTTCTCAGGAGCTGAGCCAGGATTTAATTGCAAATCTGCCTGATTCCCAAGTCCTAGATACTTTTTCCAACATGGCACCTTGCCTAGGGACTATCTCATAGGGAAGGGAAAAGAGTGGACAGAGACAAGGTAGACTGTGCCCACAGTCAAATCTCACTGACCTTCTGGTCCCATCCTGTGCTCCCTCCATAGTGAGATAGAGGAGGAGGAAGGGAGAACTGTGTCCTCCCCACCAGAAGTCGCTACCCACCGCAGACCCTGTGCTCGCAACCCCGTGACGTACCATGAACATGAGGGGCATCAGGGCTTCTCGATCCCCCGCCAATGACCATTTCCCTCCCCAGCTTCTACACCTCCCTGGCCCGTGCCCACCCATGTCCCCACCACAGGGCCCCAGTGTTAGTACCGAAGTAAATCTCCTGTTCAAACGTGTTGTCTGTGGAGTAAGCAAACTTTCCAGCTTGGGGAGTCACCTGACGGAAGCAGCTCTGCTTTGGGGGCTGGAAGGTTTTTCTCTTTTCCTTGATATCCTCAGCTGTTGCGTTCCTGCTGGGCAAGCTTTCAACCGTCTGCACTTCTGGAGAGTAGCTGGGCAGTCTTGGCAGGGGTAGAGAGGAAGGAAAGGAGGAAAGACAGGAGGTGCCCCAACTTCCAGAGGGGGCACAGCTCACTTAAGCTCCCACTCATGGGAATATCTGAAGAACACTAGTGTTTATGAACCTGTCCCCTGGTGTCAGTTGAATATGGAGCCACCAGAAAGGGTGGCCACCTCACTCCTCCATGACGAAACCCTGCCTTTGCAGCCACAGGAGCACAACAGAGTGGCCATACTCCCAACATAACCCTGTGTATGTGTGTATGTGTATGTGTGTGCATGGGTGTGTGTCCACTTGTGCAAGTATACACTGTGTATGTGCAGGGGATCAAACCCAAGGCTTTATGGGTGCTAGGAAAGTGAATTACGGCTGAGCTACTCTCTAGCCCATAGCTCAGCCCTTCTTGTCCTTGTTCCCTTAGAGGCTGCACAGGTGTGGGGAAGGGAACCTGCCTCCCACATGACCTCAATCCAGTGCACTGTGGTTCTTTAATGTCTGGCTGTGCTCAGGAAAGGTGCGAGCCTGCCCTTTGCCACTGTAGTCCCCAGCACTTGGCAGACAGCCTAAAAGCAGCAAAAATACAATTTATACCTGCTCAATAAATGAATAAATATTTCCCCTTAGTTTCCTTCCTTTTTGGAAATCAGGGCTATTATAATAGCTCCAGTCTTCGCTTTCATTATCAATGAGAAGGAAACACCCTGAGGCAAGGGCTTCTCGCCTTACTCTCCGAGGCTGCCTGGCTCTGTCCTGCAGCTGCGTGTGGTTTGAGTCTAGGGGCACACTGGCTCTCTATTCCGGGGGCGGCAGGACCACACGTCAGTGCCATGCACCTGCCTTACCCTCACAGTGGTATACTTCTGGGATGGTAACTGGATCATCAATCTGGTAATTAACTCTGCCGAAGGAGGCCAAGAAGGGATCCCTGTAAGGCAGTGGTCCTCAAAAGGGGGCCATTTTGCCCCCTAGAGACATTTGTCAGGCCAGTATCTGAGACATGTTTGGTTTTCACAAGTACTGGCATCTGGTAGGTGGAGACCAGGGATGCTGCCAACATCCTGAATGCACAGGGAACCCTTTGTCCAACCCAGCTTGTCAGCACGGCAGTAGCTAAGAAACCTTAATTTGTGGAGTTCTCAGACACCAGGGTGGTGGCCAACATGTGGTTGACGGAAGAATGGCCTGGGGCACAGCTCAGTGGCACAGCATCTGCCAAACACATGCACGACCCTGGGTTCAATCCCAGGAAAGAAACCAGTAAGATAAACTACAAGAAGCTGTGTAAGCACATGGGGGAGGCCTTGCAGAGAGCCAGGGATTCTGGAAGGCAGACCAGAGAAGCCTGGCCGGCTTACCTGTAGTAAACAGGAAGCAGCAGCTCTGGCTGCTTTTCTTCCTGGGGAAGCAGGGTGACATCTCGCCCCTCAAACTCGGCTGTCTCTTCTGCTTCCAGCTGGTTCAGGAGCTCCAGGTCACTGGCTGAGGTGAGTTCATCCCGGATGTGGCTCCAGTCGTACTGCTGGTGCAAGAAGCTCTGCCACTTGTTGGGAGACGCTCCGGGCCTCCCAGGACACTTGTTCTGGATCCATCGGGCTGTGCGCTTGTTCAGCTTTTCCAGCACAATGGCCTCCCAGGCTCTGGCCTCTCTCTCAGCAGGCGGAAGCCAGACTTCCCTTTCCACATCTGGAGAAAGTGACAATTCCAGAGCATCTGGGTCCTTGTGGGGAGAAGGCATGAGACAGTGAGGTGATTTCTGGACCACACTTTCTGAATGGGGTTTCTTTTGCTTCTTTTCAAAATGGGCACAGCTTTCTGTCTTCCCAGCCTGGGAGGTGTCTCCCATCAAGGCTCTGGAGGGCTGGAGGAGCCGGAAGCGGACAGGTTTCTCAGATTGGGCCTTCTTGATGTGGGCAGGCTGGACAATGTCATCTGTGTTGTAGAGGTGGTCAAAGCTGTACTGGCTGTAAGGCATGCTGGGAAGCCCTCGCTGCCACATCACCTCTGCAGAGAAGGACAGGTTTGCTGCAGCCTTTTTCAGGTACCTGCTCTTGAGCTGTGTATGGTGCTGGGGACAGAAGTGGAAGACGGGAGGCACGCCAGATATGGAAGTGCACGCCTCCTTGTCCTTCGGCTTTGAGAAGCAGAAAGTCATACCCCACCCCAGCCTTGGGTTGGGTGGCTGAGGCTGGGTGGGAGCTGTCTTTTCCTCTGGGGGCGCAGTCATATTGGTCCCCAGAAAATGCTCCCTTCCATCCACACTACCTGGTCCAAAGGCAGGGCTGCAGCTGTGACTGGGTACCTGGGAAGGTGATAGGAGCAGCTGGTGACAGTGGAGGTCAGCAGAAAGCCCATAGCAGTGCAGAAAGAGAAGCACTTGGAGGACAGATGAGAACGGGAGAGTGATGGGAAGGAGAGCCATGTGGATCAGAAGAACAGAAGAAAGACATGGTACAACATTCTAAGTATTTCTCGTATCAGGCCCGTGCTTCCAGGTCTCACATTTGGCCCCAGAGCTCCTTGTGCGGGCTTTTTAATAGCGCCCCACTTTCCTAGTTTTATTCAGATGTTGCTTTGTCTCTGTTCAAAGGCTTAAGTATAAAACACAAACAGCTCAGCCTGGCACTCATGGTTTTCCGTGAGGAGGACCTCGCCCTAGGACTTTGTCCCAACCTGTGGGCCTGGCTTGAGCTGGCCAGCCCCCTTTCCTGTTCTCTGAATGATCTTCCCTCCAGCCAGTGGGGCTTTCTCTTGTGCCCTCTGCATGAAATTGCTTTTCTGCCATACTTTTTTTTTTTTTTGGGACGGGTCTACGGTGTATTCAGGATCTCAGTTCTAGATCGGACTCACAGTGATCCACCTGTTTACAGCCTCTCAAGAGCTGGGATTACAGGCTTGTGCCACCACGCCATGTCTCAATTGCCATCTCAGTGCGCCCCGGGGGCAGGGCTGGCATGAAAGGCCTGAAATATGAACACTTTGTGTGTGTGTGTGTGTGTGTGTGTGTGTGTGTTGTGTGTGTGTGCGGTACTGGGGACAGAACTCAGGATCTTACGCTTACCAGGCAGGCACCTGTGCCACTGAGCTATCTCCCCGACCACCTTTTCTGCCATACTTGACACACAAATTCTGTCCATTCTTTCAGGCCCAGCACTGTTCCTACATGCTTTCCCCATAGCTCCTTCTTGACCTACTGAGGCTGCCATGGCATATCTGAGTAATTTATGTATCAGTCCTGGCCCATTTATTTGACCAATCAGTCCTGCAACACTTCACATTGTTAAGTACTGGCTAACTGTACTGTCCCATGACTGCGGCTCCTGTCAATTCTGTCCTAAAAGCCACCCAATACTTTCCTGTGTTGCTACATGGCCTTCACTGTGAAAATGCTCATGCTACGGGATATTTTATCAAGTAGTTCTTCCTTAATTATTGAGTAGGCTGTTTCTAGGTTGTTATCCAACAGATGAAACTGTATGGGACAGGTGCTTAGAGATTTACATTTCATTTTGTTGTTTCTGTCAGAAGCACTCTCTTGGCCTAACAGTGACAACTGATCATTAAAGTACTAGACTTCACTAAAAATACTAGGATCTGGGATGAAGCTGAGGCTCAGAGAGGTAAGTCAATCACTCCAGATCGCCTGGCGCCTGAGTGGGGGATGAGTCTGCGGCACCGCCGCTCCACACCTCTTGACCTCCGTGCCGCCCTGGGCTTGGCTCAAGCCCCCCTTCTACCACTCATATGCTGGATCTGTGCTCCAGGACAGGTGTCATTATTCTATGTCCTTTTTCTCTTGCTCCTGCCAATTCCAGGTGCCCCTGTGGACCAGGTCTGACTTTTCATTCCTTCATAATAAGCAGTCCACACCCTCTCTCCTTAGGGTCTGATTTACCCCACTGTCTTCTATTTATGAAACTTGACCTTGAGGTTTTTTTCTTTCTGTTAAGTCAGCTTTCATCTTGATGCTCTGGGGCCAGAATTGGTAGATTTTTTTTACATACAAAATTAATTTTAGTTGTTTTACCCCTTCACAAGCATGAAGGCCACATAGTCACAAGGGCAGTGAGTATTTAAATAGACTAAAAAAATGAGGGCAAAGGTAAAGGCAGTCACACGGCCATAAGGTGGAGTTTTTTTTTTTTTGAAACAGTGCTCACTTTTGCTGGTAGAAAATAAACTGTCAGATGCAAGCAACACTAGTGCTCCTGACTCTTGTACATGTATTACTAAATGAAGCACGTGTGTGCACAGCAGTATGGCTCTCGTTCCTGGTCAGAGACACTGGGATCCTACGCACTAAATCAGGATGAGACCCGGTTTCACTCCAAGATGACTACATGTTTGGAGGGCGTGAAAAGCCCTTGGCTATATGCCCTTTAACTTGTGACATAAAGAACCAAAGACACCTTACAGCAATGCAACTAGGTGTGGTGGCGCACACCTGTAATCCCAACACTTGGGAGGCTGAGGCAGGAGGACTGAGGTGAGCTCAAGGCCAGCCTGCACTATGTCTCACGAAGCATGCAAACAGGAAGGACATCGTATTATCATCAGCAGTTACTGTATGTCCTCAAGTAGTTGTCTCCTGATGTGATGGCTAATTGAAAAAGAACATATGATAGATCTCTCTCTTTTTTTAATGGAAGGGGTGGGGCAGGCAAGATACAAGGTTTGGTCATGAGAGGCTTGCTCTTGTCTGTTAGAGTTAGAAGACAGAGCTAAGGCAGGTTTCTGCACTTCTCAGGCAAATGGTTTAATATCCCTGATTTGATAATCTGAAAATAGAGAGTAAGGCATCTGTTCTAATTTCTTTCTTTTTCTGCGGAACCAGGGATTGAACTCAGATCCTTGCACTTGCCAGGGAAGCACTTAACTCTTACTGAGCCATCTCCCCGGCCCTGTTCTAATTTCTTTTTAATTATTTATTTGTGTGTGTGTGTGTGGCCAGCTCAGCCCACCAGGGGGTGGGGCTGGCTGGCATGTGGTGCTGGGGGATTGAACCGCGGTCCCTGTGCTCTGCCAAGCCTGCTCCAAGTAGGTGCCCTAGACCACTGAGCCATCTCACCAGCCCCCTAGTTTATTTCTAACAAGGAGTCTGATACTTGTTGATACCTCCAAAATATTGCTTTAGTGGGCTGCTAGTCCTACCAGCAGCAACCACCAGCATTAGCTCTGTCCTTTGAGGAACTTGGGCTGGAAGGGCCGGTGCCAAGTAAGAAGGGCAACCAAGTGTTTCCATTTAGAAGCTGATGAACTTTGTACATCCATGACTGTAAAACATGAAAGTTAAACTGAAGTCCTCTCCTCCCTTTGGTGTTTTATGAATAGAAGAACCCAGCTCAGCCAGACGCAGTGGCACATGCGTGTAATCCCAGCATGTGGAGGCTGAGGAAAGGAAAACCGCAAGTCTAAGACCAGCCTGGACTACCAAGGCCAGCCCACACCACATAGCAAGGCTCTGTTTCAAAAAATCAAACCAAAAAAAGAGAAATCAAAGCAAACCACCACAACAAAACGCCCTACTCAAAGTGGGTCATTTTTCAGAGATTTCAAATTTAGTTTCACTCTCCTGTTTATGTTCGTAGGCTGCTAGCCTCTCTCACTTGAATAACGTATGCTAAAGGGAGTAATATCTTGTTCTTGTTGCCTCTGTTATTAAGGCAGAAGAAACTGCCTTACCATCCTCCACCGGCACACTCTCCTCTCCACCTCCAGTCCCAATTCTGAAATCATGAAGTACAGTCTAACAGGACCAGTCATCCTCTGGGCTGGGGTTTGTTAGATGTGACTCGGGGACCTTACGTATCAAGGTCACTTGAGGAGCTTGTACAATCCAGACTCTTAGGGTTTGTCTTTTGCAACAGTCACACCTCCAAAATATTGCTTTAGTGGGCTGCTAGTGGCCTGCATTTTGATAAGCTCTCAGGGGTTGTTCTCATAGTCACGGAATCAGCATTCACAAAGATAGGTCAGTAGGTCACGTAACGGAAGCTGAGTCCATGGGGACAGCAGGATGAGGCAGTCCAAACTCATCCTGCAGGGTTCAAATTTGGCCTTTCTTTTGCTCTCCAAAAATTCCTCTGACTGTTTCCCCTTCTTTTCTCTGAGATTTCCATCTCTCAATATGCATTTACACTGCCATATAGCCGTCTCCAGGGCTCACTCTGGAAGTTGCTATCAAAATGATCTTTTCTGATGCTCTCACCTCACAGGTTCCAAAACCACAGCCCAGAGAGAAGAGATTTGACCAAGACTACAGTCTGGGTTGGTGTCTGAAGTAACACTGACCCTTTTGACACTGAATACAAAGTCCTTTTGACTTATCATTCAGCTGATGCTAATGAACTGTTCTAAGATCCTGGTAAAGAGCTAGTGTTTTGAAATTACCTTCAGAATGGCCCCGCCCCCAGCACAGTCCTCAGGAAACAACATCTAAGGCACATTATCATCTTAGATCTTCTTTGCTTTCTTAAGTTCCAAAGCTGTTTATGTGGGTCACCTAGCAACCAATTATTCAGTGTTCCAGGGAGACTCAATTGGAACTGTTGTATTTGTTAAATTTTCTTCTTTGTAAACTGAACTTTGAGAAACTGCATCATACATATTTATTGATGGCTAAACGGATTTTAGTCATTCTTTGAAATATCAGCCAGTAGTCCTATACTATTTAATATATCTTCCCTCTACCCTGAGATTTTTTTTTTTGAGACAGAGTCTCACTACATAGTTCAGGCTACCCTTGAAGTTCCTGCATAGTCCACGTTTCGCCTTGAACTCATGGCTATCCTCCAGCCTCAGCTTCCCAAGTGCTGGGATTATAGGCATGTGCCACTCCATTCAGCAAGGAATTCTATTTTGCTGAGAAAAAGAAAAAAAAAAAAAAAGGAACACAGGAACCAACACAGCTCTGGCATTCTTCAGGTTTCTGTGTGAACAGATGGTGAAGTGTTGGAACCTTTCCCACTCCCCTTTCCCTTCTTACATTGCTACTCGATGTCTTCCTTCCAAACAGTTCACTGTTATCCCCTGCCCCCACGCTAGGTGCAGGCTAGATTATTTGTCCACTTACGTAAAAATATAACTGTGTTTTAAAGGAAATAAGAAAATACAGTATCTCAATTGTCAAACTCAATGCATTTCAAATTTGTGTTCGAACAGTGAAAAGTTCCACAACTGAATATATTTTTCCCATAGAAATAATGGCAAACCAAACAATTGGTTCTAAGGCCCAGAAAAACACTTATAAATTCATCTTCCCAGGACTTTTCACAAATTTTGCAATGATTTTTTTCTTTCCTTTAACTCTGGCTCTCATAATTCTCCTTTAGCTTCACCGCTGGTGTCATTTTCATGACAGCCATTATTATGGTGTTTAATGCAATTAAATCACAAAAAGCAGTACAATGATAAATGTTTTAATACACTAACACAAGCGCTGTATATTGTCTGGGCAAGAGCAGAGCTGAGACTGAAGCATCACTCCTTTGTGAGTGCAACCGGATTCAGCTTGTGATTCGTGTCTCACTCTCAGCGCTGTACAGGTTTTTCCAAGTTGGATTATGAACACCAAATGTATTTTTTTCAGACTTTGCCATTGAAGTAGTAGGAAGTCTGTGCTTCCAACCATTCAACCACTGAGGCGTCACTGTAGTTTATCCTGAGCCAAATGTGAGTGACACCACCACCACATAATAAAGCCATTGCTGGCCTGCTGGGATAAATCAACACAGATCTGGACTTTCTCCACGT